TAAAATAAAAAAGTACAAATAAAAAAAGAATTGTTTTTGTATATACACAATGTTTGAATTAATGGTCAAGGGTATTGGAAAGTTTTCAATAATAATTATGTGGCTTTATACTTTTGCCCCGATTTGTTACATTATTCTGGATCATTATCCTGTTATCATTTTTAGAATAAGAAACAAAATATATGTTTATTTACTTATTAGGCCAATTTAACTAAAAATTAATCTAACTAAAATAAGATTTTTTGTCTAAAAATGAAAAGAGGATGGTGGCTGACAGCTGTTTGCTCTCTTAGGTGGTTAGGGTGTTTAAATTAATTTTTAAACTTTTATAGTAGAGTTGTTTAGTTAAATTAACAAATGAAGGGAGTTCAAAAAATAATCTAAATATTTTCAAAAAATATACCAAACAATTATTCTGTCTTAAAACCCTTTTTTAAAAAAATGTATCAAATAACTATTCAATATTTTATTAAACTTTGATATACTTTTTAGATATTTTATTAAATACATTTTCAAACTCAAATCAAATTCGATTTAATTTAACTCAACTAAAACTTAAAATACTTTTTGAGAATAATATTTTTCAAATTGTCTATCAAACAGGCATTTTTATGTCTCATAGGAGGCCAGATTAAATTAAACCAGTGGAAAAGATGCCATTTCACATAAAGAACAAAAGGCCAAGATTTTTATTAAATTCATGCATTCAAAATGGTACTTTATTGTCTTTCCAAATAAATTGCTTAGATAAAATAGAAAATTGTCTTTAAAACACATTATAATTATTCATTAAAATTCATGTAAATACAAAATTAATTCTAAACGTAGAGTTAGAAAAGAGCTTCCAAATTATCTCTGGGTGACTAAGTGGTTCGAGCACCTTCCTGATTGCTAATAAGGGTAGCTATTTGAGCTCTTACTTGACCAGTAGTTTCAAGGTTCTAAAGGATTAGTTGAGATATACATAAATTAGTCGAACATCTTCGATTAAAAAAAAAAAAAAAAAAATGCTCCCATAGTAACAGAACTTTCACAATGATGATAAAAACCTAAGAAAATTTTCATGGATTTCCCAATTTTGAAGTAATTTGCAAAGTTTTTTGTGTTGATAAGAGAAAAAAATGAGGTAGATAATAGAAAACCTAAGTCCCACTGGTGAGTAGGTCAAATTAGTAATAATACTCTTCAAGCCCCATTCGCGGGGGTGGGCAAGAGATGTTACATATACAAGATTGAACTTATCCGCCATATTTCATATATATTATTGGAGAAAAAGAAGATTTGGGAAAAGACGAACTGACTTTCGTATTACATTTCTTGTTGTTTATATATAGCACCATACAACTCAGCAGTTAACCATACAACTTCACTTGAGTTAACAATTAACTCTAGTTACAATTAAATCAACTAACTAGCTAACCAACTAATAAACTAACCAACTAAAACTGTACAAAAAATCTGTACATTATTAATCTAATAGCCCCCCTTAAGTTGGAGAGTGATAGAGATGAAGAACCCCTGACTTGTGTAACAATTTGGAGTGAAGAATGGTGCCAAGAGCTTTAGTTAGTAAGTTAGTTGGCTGCTTTGAAGAAGGCACATAAGCAGTTTTCATCAAGCCAATTTTGAGCTGTTCCCTAACAATGTGACAGTCTATGTCTATGTGCTTTGTTCTCTCATGGAACATGTGATTCAAGGCAATGTAATTCGCAGCTTGATTATCACAGTGAAGAGGAAGTAGAAGCAACTGAGAAAATCCAAGTTTTGTAAGTAATTGCACCAACCACATAACCTCACATGCAATAGAAGCCATAGCTCGATATTCAGTTTCTGAAGAAGATTTAGAGATGGTTGCCTTTTGGATTTCAAAGAGATCAAGGACTGGCCAAGGAATAAACAATACCCTGTAATTGATTTCCTTGTCATGAGGCAAGAGCCCCAATCTGAATCACAATAGGCTAACAATTTCAGAGGATTCTTAACAAGAAAAATAAGCCCAATCCAGGAGTAGATTTAATATACTTGACAACTTTAAATGCTGCTACCATATGAGACTCCTTAGGATGATGCATGAATTGACTTAACAAGTTGACAGAATAACTTAAATCAGGCTTGGCCATACACAATTACAATAGCTTCCCCACCAATCTTTGGTAAACATTTGGGTCAAAAATAAGATGATCACTGCCATTGGGGAATAAAGCATCATAGGTAATAGACGTGAGTTTCAAATTTGGCTCCATTGGGACTAAAGAAGGCTTAGCACCAGATAAACCAGCCTTTGAAATAAGCTATAAAACATATTTTCTTTGGTATAAACTGATACCATTAGAGGATCTAGCAACTTCAAAACCTAAAAAATATCTCAATAGCCCTAAATCTTTCAACTTGAAATTAGAATGCAACATTTGTTTTGTGTGATGAATCATATCAACATTAACATACACTAATAACATAACAACACCTGAATTTGCCCTCATGGTAAACAAAGAGTAATCTGCCTTAGACTGATTGAACTCTCCAGTAAGAAGAGCCTGTGTGAGCTTATAATTCTAAGCTCTGGATGCTTGTTTCAACCCATAAAGAGATTTGTGAAGCTTACACAGTGTATTGCCCGCCCCCCCAATTCTTTGCAAATCCTTGAGGCAAAGACATGTAAATCTCCTCATGTAAATCCCTTTGGAGAAAAGCATTGTCTACATCTAATTGGTAAAGTGGCCAGTTATGTGAAGAAGTCAAAGTTAAAATGGTTCTAATAATAACCATTTTGACAATTGGAGAAAAATTCTCATCATAATCTACACCAGCTTGCTGAGTATATCCCTTAGCCGCCAACTGAGCCTTATACCTTTCCAAAGAATCATCAGCCTTGTATTTAACCTTATATAGCCACTTGTAACCTATAAGGACTTTACCAGGAGAAAGGAGAACAAAAGACCAGGTGTTATTCAGCTCCAAGACATGTATTTCTCTCTACATAGCAGCCACCCAATTGGGATCTTGGGAAGCTTGAGAAAAACTTGTAGGTTCTACTAATGATGTATGGGACAAGTAGGCTTGATAAGAAGGGGAAAGATAAGTGTATGTAACAGAATTAGAAAAAGGATAAGGACAATGTCAAATGATGTTAGCTGAAGAAGTAGACATAATNGCTGAGTATATCCCTTAACCACCAACTGAGCCTTATACCTTTCCAAAGAATCATCAGCCTTGTATTTAACCTTATATAGCCACTTGTAACCTATAAGGACTTTACCAGGAGAAAGGAGAACAAAAGACCAGGTGTTATTCAGCTCTAAGACATGTATTTCTCTCTACATAGCAGTCACCCAATTGGGATCTTGGGAAGCTTGAGAAAAACTTGTAGGTTCTACTAATGATGTATGGGACAAGTAGGCTTGATAAGAAGGGGAAAGATAAGTGTATGTAACAGAATTAGAAATAGGATAAGGACAATGTCAAATGATGTTAGCTGAAGAAGTAGACATAATAGGACAAAGAAAGTCTAATGTCCAAATGGGAGGTTTGGAAACTCTACTAGATCTCCTAATAGGAAGAGAAGAAATAGGTTGATTTATTGTAGGTATAGTAGAAATAGGTTGATTTATTGTAGGTATAGTAGAAACAGGTTGAGGTGATGGAGATAAATCAGGTTGAGCAACTAATGAAGGTGAAGAGGAAGGTTCTATGGTCTGGACAACATTAGGAGAGGAAGAAAACATAGGGGATGGAACAAATTCCAAGTCAAGAAAATCCGTTTCAATAGGAAAAATAGGCTGTGATGTTTTAGACCAAGTGAAAGGAAAAACAGACTCATAGACGAGTACATCCCGAGAGACAGTAACACTGTGAAAATAGAGATTGTAAAGGAGATAACCCTTTTGGGTGAGAGAGTAACCCAAGAAGACACAAGGTACAGACCTTGGGGACAACTTGTCTTTAAAGGTGAGGATAGTAGCATAAGCCAGACAACCAAATATTCTTAAATGATCCAGAGAAAGTGGTTTGCCAATTTTTTTTTTTTCAAAAGGTGAAACACCATGAAGGACAGAAGTAGGGAATCGATTAATGAGATATATAGCTGTTTGGACACAATACCCCTAGAGATGAGTTGGAACCTGTGACTGAAATTTTAAGGCCCTAGCTACTTGCAAGATGTGCCTATGTTTCCTCTCGACAACCCCATTTTGTTGTGGGAACAGGCACAAGAACTCTTATGCATAATTCCCTTGCTAGTAAACAAAACATTACAATCTTTATTAAAAAACTCAAGGCCATTATTAGTCCTAACACATTTTGGAGTTAAATGGTACTGAGTTTGTACCATTTGGAGAAATTGCTTGATAGTAACAAAAGAATCAGACTTGAACTACATTAAGAAAAGTCAAGTCACCATAGAGTAATCATCTACAACATTGAAGAAATACCTAGCATTACCATGTGTGAGTGTCCTATATGGACCCGAAACATCCATATGTAGGAGATAAAAAATGCTACTAGACTGTGAACTACTATGAGGAAATGGAGTCCCAGTCTGTCTAGCTAAAGGGCATACAACACAACGTGGGGGATTAGACAAATTTAGTTTAGGATGCAAAATTTGCAAAACTAGATAAGGAGCATGTCCTAAACACTGTTGCCACAATTCAAAAGTACTAGAAAAAGTTGCAGTCATAAAAGAGGCAGGTGAAAACAAGTCTTTATTCAACTGAACATCAAGAGATACATTATTGTTTGAAGGTAACACATTTGAAGCATTACAAATAGTATTATTTAACATGTCTACATTCGATAACATGGGAGAAATTTTTATGTTTGGATCAAAGAAATATAGACCCTGACTATGTCTACCAATCCCCTTCAACTTGTCATTGCAAAGATCCTGAATGGGACAAAAGTTAGGATAAAAGGCAATAAAGCAATTGTTAGAAGCAGTGTATTTGGAAACAAAGAATATGTTGTGTTTAAAATCAAGTACATGTAGAACGTTAGAAAGATGAATGCCATTAGCCAAATCAACAGAATCAATATGCTTAATGAGGGTTCTAGTTCCATTTGGTAATCCTACAAGAGATTTGAATGATGGTTCTATGACAATAGGACAATTTAGAAGTACAAAGTTTAAATTCATGTGATCTGTGGCCCCTGTGTCTACAATCCATCCAGTATCATCCAAACAAAGATAACAGGGCAGTAAAAATACCTGCAAGATTAGCGGCCGGAGGATTCTTTGCTTAGCAATTGAAGAATCTGACTGTATTGTTCTGAAGTCAAAACTGGTCCAACCATTGTGTTATTGTTGCCATCATCTAAAACTGCTGAATTTGAACTCCGAGTCTACACCTAATTAGCCAAAGCCTTCGATTTGGAACCCGTTTTCCCTCTTGTAAACTAGAAATACGTAGGATATCCTATCAACTTATAACAAGAATCCCTCTTATTATGCCCAGGCAGTGATCACATTCAACATATGGCTTCTTGCCTTTGTACCTTTGTCCCTGAGACTGACTTTTATTATTGTTGTTCTGAGCATATAGGGTTGTGGTCACCTTTGAATTAGCATTCATTCCAGTCAAAATTCTTTGACTCTTATCCTCATTAACCACCGAATAAGCTTGTTTTACAGTTGGCAATGGATTCATCAACAAAATCTGACTTTGTACCACTGAATATGACTCATTCAATCCCATAAAAAATTGCAGTAATTTTTGTTGATTGAGGTGTTCTAAATATGTTTTTGCAGAAACACTATCTAGAGTAGGTAGGCTGACCAAAGAATCTAGCTCATCCCAAAGCGACGTGAGCTTGTTGTAATAGATCACCACAATGTTTGTTCCTTGCGTTAAATTCACAATTTCACGATGAATCCCAAAAACCCTAGTACCATTAACCTTGTGATACTGTTCTTTTAAATCTTGCTAAACTTGGGAAGTAGTCATCGAGTAAACAATTCCATTAAAGATTTCTTTTGAAACTGAATTGAAAATCCAAGCTAAAACTAATGAATTACATCTCTCACTATGGAACCAATCGAGAATGCATTGAAGACTTCGTACAGGTTCCATCAACAAACCCTAGTTTATTCTTCGCACATAATGAGACAGTCATTGCTCTACTCCAGATCCCATAGTTTTCAGTGCCTACAAGCTATTCAGACACTAGTACAAATCCTGGTGTGTCCGAAGAGTGAACATAGAGGGGCGAATTTGAATTGACTATAGGTATAACATATTCTTCAATTGATGTCGCCATGATTGATTGAGCTAAAATTGTAGAACTTTGAGCTTTGATAAGCTTGACTAAAGTGAGGACAAGAAAGATTTTAAAATCTTTTGAGCTTTACAAGAACAAAATTGATTGTCTCATTAACCTAATTCAGGTCGAAATGCGGAAGAATTCGCGCTCTGATACCATATTGGAGAAAAAGAGTAATGTAGAATAAGAAGATTTGGGAAAAGACGAACTGACTTTCTTATTACATTTCTTATTGTTTATAGACAGCACCATACAACTCAACAGTTAACCATGGCATGGTTAATCCTACAGCTTGTCTTCCTGCAAGTGAGTGAGACTCATGGCGTGGTTGAGGGTGTGAAGGCAGAAGGACTGCACCTCCCTTTGGATTTCCAGTTTGAGCCCTAATATGAAGTAGCTTAGAAGTAATGTACTTGGAAGGCCAAAAACTTGATTAGAGAGTTCCTCAAATTATGTTTGATAAGCGACTATAAAACCTGCTTGAGTAAGTTTGGCCAACTACCCTCGGTAATCCACAAATTCCAAAGGCCCAAAACAAACATCTAAATCCTGTAGAAAAGAACGTCAGGAACGAATCTGTCCATTGGAATGCATCCAGCGATACCATGAGAGAGCTGGCCCATCCATGTGGAAGGAAAAGATCGTTAGCCATTGTTCGGTAGGGGTATTAAGGTAATCAAAGAATTGCTCAGCTTTAAACCTTTAGCCGCATGGATCCGTGCCATCAAAACGGGGTACCTCTATTCGGAAAGGCTTAAAAGGTGGCGCAACCCCAGAAGAATGCGAACTTGAGTCGGGCAGGGGAGTGCCATTGCCACTCGCATCATTGTCCCTCATGAGCTCCTTTTGTTGTCGTCCTCATTCTAGCTTGGTGTCAATGGCAACCAGTTTTAATGTAATAGCCTTCAAAATACCTTATAGGGAGTCAAGTTTGGCCTCTTGAGTGTTCAGTCTAGCCCCATATTGAGAGACAAGTTCTTCTAGAGCCTTTAGGCGAGAAGGTTCAGCCATGGAAAGGGAACGAGAACACCCATTGTTAGGATAGTGATTCTGTTTTATATGAGGAAACAAAACCTTTAACAAGAATGAGAATTAAGAGTTTAAGGGAAAAAAACTTTATTGATTATTGCTTTCCAAACCTAATTGTTTTAAGCTTTATATAGCCTTACACATTATTCTAATTCTAAAAAGACTCTAATTACCTAATTCAAATCTAATTGCTTAATTCAAAAGTTATTTTAATTAGATAATAGCATAATTATAAAAGGATTTAACCTAATTATTTTAATTCTATCCTAATTCTAAAATAATCTTAACAAGATCACAAACTCTATCTCCCATAATCTAAACAAGATTGAACTCATCCTCCATAGTTCGCATATACAAAGCTAGCTCGAATCAGGCTATCTGGTTAGTTAGTTAGTTACACAATGCTGCCATATAGTGTAAACTTCTGCATATACAGTAGGAGATGAATTTGTCTTGTATTTTTGACAGTGTATAATCAAATCATCTTGTAGAAGATCCTAAAGCTCAGAAATTACGAATATGCTAGTAAATGTATCATTTGCAAGCATGAATTTTTTTTTTTTTATAAAATATAATTTCGTGTTATTTTGTGATTTTGAATAATGTTTTGTAATGACAACATTTTGTCACTAGATCCATCCTCTTAGTTAAAATCCCCTCCGAAACTCTTTGTAATGACAACATTTTATCTTCACAACCTTGTAAAGAATTTCTGATTCTAGTACAGTTATCTACAGTCAGTGTCAATCAGAACTAAAATAAGAATGCTTATCTTCCCAATTTCAAGCCACAAGATTGTTGTTTCAAGACAAATCCATCCATTAAGTGTGAATAAGGTATTAATCAGGACACAAACGGGGAGATAATGAAATATAAATGCCACAATGTAAGAATGTAAGGCAACTCTCAACTCCCTGAAGGCACACAAATATACCTAATGGTTTCATATTTTTAAGAGCTATGTATCCAGTACAGAGTCATTTCAAAAGGACACCAAGAAAGTGCTAATTACTATACATATTTTAATCAAACTACCAGAACAAATAAACACTTACGTTAATTCCGTAATAAACCAGCTGAGCGAAAAGATCGCTGCTTCAACCAAGCTGGTGGAGGCCAGAAAAGGGTAGAAAAGCCTCGAAAATCCGCGAGTTTTGAATCAGTATGAGTCCTCAGGTCGTAAATCCTGACATCTTCTATGTCCAGATCCTCATACTCACGAAAATCATAATTAAAGAAATAAATACAATTTCCTCTTAATGCAGGAAACTCGCTAGCTGAAACTGAAAACGGATTACATTCCACATCAAAGAACACTCTATCCTCCAACTCCAATTCATCCTCCACCAAATCCCACTCATGTGTTTCTTCATTAAGCTTAAAAACCTTGAAACAATGAATACCTTCACTTGAGAATTGCGCAACTAAAAACAGATCGTTAAGTGACTCCACCAAGAACAAAATTGCATTTTTCAGATCCTCTCTCGGCCCTGCAACTAAATTAACCTCCAAAGATTGGAAATCCACCGTTAAAAAGCCAGCCTTGGTAAGCATAACATAAAATTTTTTATTATGACAAATAATGTCCTGAAAACAATCAAGCTCACAAATTCTAGTGTTTATTTTACTCCATTTCTTGTCTACATTCCTCCACATAAACAGCTCTTTTGTATCCACTGCGGTCATAACCGCAAACCTGTCATCAGTTTCATCAAGAAACGAAGTAAAAATCACCCTTGAAGGAAGAGGAAGACTTACTAATCCCTCCCAGTAGCTATGGTAGACTTTGCTTTTACCTTTATGATACGCAACTGATTTAAGCATGTATGAATTTCTCACTTCCCTGACTCGATAATCAAGCGAGTTAAATGTCTTGGGTAACCTATTTAAAGGATCTTCATAAAAACTTTGGATCAAAGGGTTTTTCATTTTAAATTTACCTGGTGTCACCTCTTGCACTTCCACAAACCATATTTGGTTATGGTTGATATTGTCGATGGGCTCAACGACGTAAATTGGAGACTCCACGAGGACAAACTGGTAATCCTCACGGGGGATTGGGCCTTTGAGGAAGTCAGTCTTCTTCAAAATTGAGTCTGGGAACAAGACACTTGGAGGACGAGGAAGGCCGGATCGAAATGAAGAACAAACGGCGCGAAAACGTAGGAGTTCGATTCGTGCGTGGAGGCGCTTTGCGATGGCTTCGAGGACGTCTGGAGGGGCTTTGGTCCAGTCGGGAGTGACTCTGTCTTTTTTGTTCATGGCAGCGATTTGGTAAAGTAGGTCAAAATGAAGTGAAGAGGAAAGAAAAAGAGAAAACAGAGATGATGTAAAAAGCAATAGCGCTTTCTGAGCCAACTTCTGTCAACGCACAGAGACAACATAAATTATTAAATTTTTTTGTCTTGATCTATTTGTATTTATGCCACAGGATGAAAACCTTATTTTCCAAATCAACGGTAGGGATTTTTAAATACACCTATGTTTCCCCCTTTATTTATTTATTTATTTTTAAAAAAATATTTTTAAATAATTAAAGTCACAAGCATACATTAAGAACACAAAAGATGTAGCAAATTGTGTTCTATATTCTATAAATAAAATATATGAAATAATAAAAAATCTTATCCTTTAAAAACACATGTTAAGACTACCCATTAAAATTTTATGTATATAGGATTTAATTGTAAGCATGAAATTTGTCACGTCCCCTCCTTGGTGTCTCTATCCCACATGATCCAGGCGCTCCTAGGAACTCAAGATTCCCAAAGGAGGGTGAATAATTTTGAAAAATTTATGTTTCATAAAAGTCTCTTCATAACACATAATATAAAAATATCCATAATACAAGTTCTAAAATGGAAACACATAAGTCCAAGTACAAAAACTTCCACTTGATTCACTATTCTAATGCTTTTTAGAATAGTATTTTGGAAAAAAAATAAAGTTGAGTTGAGTTGGATTATCTTTACGAGGAAAATAATTATTAATATTTTGAGTTGAAAAAAGTAAAATTATATTTTGAGAATATTAAAACAAATATATTTTTGAGTTTTAGGATATAATAGTGGAATAAGATAGGGTAAAAATAGTGAACCAAAGTGGAGTTTTACAAAATCATGCAAATGAACATGCATCAGTGGGCCAACCTAGAGTGTAGTGTAAGCTTTGCACGAACCTTGTATTTAATCGTGTTTAAAACAGTGAGTTGGGGAGCCGGTAAGTGGATAAAACATTTTATATGAAAATAATTTATAACCTTGAAAACTACATGAGAAAATCTGTTTTGCATGCCATGAAACATCATAACCATTCATGTAAGTAATGCAACAACCATCATACCAGAGTTTTGAATGCCATGAAACCTCATACCAAGCTCAAGTAGATCAATGCAATCACCACCACCACAACAATATCTAGGGATCTATGTCGTATCTCTCACATAATGATCCCTAATACAAACAAACAACCAGACCACCCATAGTTGACCGTCAAGGTGGTATAATCTCACTAGATATCCATATCCCACCCATAGTCTACCCTTGGGGTGTCGTAATATGGTAACACACAAAATCCCACTCATAGTCTACCCTAAGGGTGTCAAAATATCCCACCCCAGTCTACCCTCAGGGTGTCATAATCCCACGCAGGCCTATACCCGCCTAGAGCTCATTAGACATTCGTCTTCTCTGTAAGATATCATAATCGTTTAGTAGAACGAATCATCCCAATGCGTGCATAGGGCTAAATGTAATGTGCTAGCTGATGTCTCAAGGGGGACATGTCCTATAGAAAGGTGGTCTCAAATTCGATAATCAAACACAACCATACACATGCATCCGAACACCCAAACACATAATGCATTATGAATGCCTTCATGCAGATACATATAGTAGTATCATATAGTTCTCATATAAAAACGGCATGTAACATAAGTGCAATGCTAGTAATATTATAAAATTCATAAACTATAGAATATCCATTTACACCCCACAAAATGCATCTGTGTTCAAATAGTCCCAAATGTTTCAAAATCTCACAGTTAACACCCAAACACATAACGCATAGTGGATGCCTTCATGCAAATACATATAGTTCTCACATAAAAACGATATGTAACATGAGTGCAATGCAAGTAATATTATAAAATCATAAACTATATAATATCCATTTACACCCCATAAAATGCATCTCTGTCCAAATAGTCCCAAACTTTTCAAAATCTCACAGTTAACACCCAAAATAACTCTCCAAAACTGACAATTTTCCCCTTCTTACGTCTTACTCGAGAGCCCTGCTCTGCAACAGAGAAGCTTCTGCCCAAAAATAAAGCTTTCCTCTCTCCTTCAACACTTTACACCAAAATACAAGCAATCTAACATGCAAATTCAATCCCCTTCCAACACAACACAATAAACATTATATATACATGCATATATACCAGTTTCACTTGAAGTTCAACTCATAAACTCAAATAAAATAAGTCAAGAATTGTGTTCAATTTCACAACCATTACCTCCACCAATTAATTATCAAACAAACCAGCCCTACAAAAAATGACTGGATTTTTCCACCACATATACCATTCCAACTTGCAAACTCACATAACCTCTATATTTGCAACATCAAATTCCCCAATTTCTCATCCACACAATCCACAAGAGTTTGACAAATAATAATTTCAGAATTTTATTCAATTATAATTATTCATTAAAATTCATGTAAATACAAAATTAGTTCTAAACGTAGTGTTAGAAAAGAGCTTCCATAATAACAGAACTTTCACAGTGATGATAAAAATCTAGGAAGATTTTCATTGATTTCCCAATTTTGAAATAATTTGCAAGGTGTTGACGCTTGATTTTGGACGCCAACGACTCGCACGTGGGAAACGCTGAGCTGACTCAGGAGACACACGTGATGGATCCATGAGATTTGAATATGGAGCTGAGATTATATATTTTGCAGATTATATAAGTAGAAGATTGGCAAGAGGGGGTTTTTATAGTGGTTCGGATGCTCAACAAGCGACTCCTACATCCACTGTTATTTTATTGATCTCTCACTATTTCTATGAATTTGCCCGTAAGGCATACAAAGGTGAAGAAATACAGTGTTTTTACAGAGAGAAAGAATTGAAGCTAAATCTCAGCCCAGCCACCAGCCTCCCTTCTTCGGGAAGAGAAATGCCCATTTATTCACATTTACACTCAATGCCATGAGAGCTTTTGCAAACTGCCTTGACACATGGAAGGCTCTCGTCCATTCATCTCTTTGAAATGAGATAAAGTTGGTGAGAATATCTTTGGAGATATGGGCTTGGCAGCTGGTACAAAGAGACATTAATTGTGCTGACATAGGCTTGACTTTTGAGGCATAACACAAGGTGTTTTGTCGATAAGAGACAAAAGTTGAGGTAGATAAGAGATAAAACCTAAGTCCCACCGGTGAGTAGGACAAATTATTAATGATACTCTTCAAGCCCCATTCGTCGAGGTGGGTAAGAGATGTTACATATACAAGATTGAACTGATCCCATATTTCATATATGTACAAGCTAGCTCGAACCTGGTGAGTTCTATGTAGTTAGTGATACAATGCTAGCGTATAGTGTAAACTACTGCATATAATAATGTTCATTAAACAAGATTAACATATAAACATTCATATTTTATTTCAGATCCCTTGGGTAAAAAATCCCGACATCTTCTATAAGTTGATCTTCTTTGTGCCAAAAGTCATCTTCCAAATATATACAGTTTCCTCTAAATATAGGGAACTCATTAGCCGAATTACAGAAAATGGATAACACCCCACAAAGAACACTCTATCCTCCAACTCCAATCCATCATCCACCGAAACCCAGTAATGTGTCCCTTCATTAAGCTTTAAAAGCGGTGGATAAGAGACAAAATTCAAGTCTCACCAGGTGAGATGAGTAGGACAATTCATAATGATACTCTTCAACCCCATTTAGCGAGGTGGGTAGGGGATGTAAGATTAAAAACAAAAACACCGTACAGTCACCATACAGTTCGATAACTGATAAAGAGTGATTGGATCCAAAAATCTAGTAGCAAATTTCACAAGATTAAGGGAAGTAACTAAACCCAAAAACTAAACTTGTTGGAATTTCTGGGTAGTTAACGTTGCTTTGCTAAAGTTAAGAGTGTTTATGAATTGAATGTAGACAATAGGCAAAGCTAATATAATGTGAAGCAAATGGATTGAAGCTGAAAAATTGTTCTTATTTCCTTAATCCACATCAAGCTATTTATACATGTTTGAGAGAACAAATTAGCCCAAGCTAGATGCAAAGATCAAGGGCTGTTACAGCTGAAAAATCATAAACAAATTATAGCTAAAAATCAATCAAAATCATATCTGTAGATTGATGACTAAGTCTGCTGCCATCTGCAGTTATTCCAACTGATTTTGACCTGGTCTTTTGGCACCTGATATGCCAACATTTCAACAAAACTTTGCAGCAAGATCACAAACTCTATCTCCCATAATCTAAAGAAGATTGAACTCATCCTCCATAGTTCATATATTAGGAAGCTAGCTCAAATCAGGCTATGTGGTTAGTGACACAATGCTGCCATATAGTGTAAACTTCTGCATATACAGTAGGAGATGAATTTGTCTTGTATTTTTGACAGTGTATTATCAAATCATCTTGAAGATCTTAAAGCTCAGAAATTTCGAAACATATGCTAGTAAATGTATCATTTGCAACCATGAATTTTTTTTTTTTTTAATTTTTTAATTTTTTTTATAAAATACAGTTTCGTGTTATTTTGTGATTCTGAATAATGTTTTGTAATGAAAACATTTTGTCACCAGATCCATCCTCTTAATTAAAATCCCCCCGAAACTCTTTGTAAGCCCATTAAAATGTTTTTATCTTCACAACCTTGTAAAGAATTTCTGATTCTAGTATAGTTATCTTCAGTCAATGTCAATAGTGCATTACCCATAAAAATATCAATGTATCTAGTATCCATAAGCCACATCTATAAGTGCATATGCATAAAAGAGCAAGAAAATGCTAATAATTAAGATACATTTTCCAATCTAAATTGAAACAACTAGAACAAAGAGACTCTTACATTGATTCATTTGGCAATCATTTGAACAGGTATATTATATCACTGCTTCAACCAAGATGGTGAAGGCCAAAAAAAGATTATAATAGGCTGGCAAAATCCCTGAGTTTCCCAATCTTACGATCTTCCAAATTAATTAAAAATCCAAGGGTAAATGGTTTTATCATTGAAGTTATGTTCTATAAAATAAATACAATTCCCTTTACATCTGAAGAACTCTTTAGCCGAAAC